CATATTAAGGAAAAGACAAAGAACTCAATTGTTTTAAAAAAAAATGCATGAAAGATACTGGCAAGTATGTCATTATGGCAGAATACAAATGAAGACATGTTTGACATTAGTAGTGTCAAATTACACAGGAAGTCATTAGCCTAAAGGCATCACCTTACTTTTTCTATTTAACACACTACAACTTTTCTTAGTGAGTATAAAGTTAAACCTCACCTTTTTTTGCTAACATACAGCTGAGTGTTAGCCAACCAGAGACAGCCCACTGAACAGACCTTGCCCAAAAAAGGCAGACACCTAGCTGTGAATGTGAATGTAGGTGTCCCTCTCCTTTGTTTCTATGTTCCCTCTCATGTTGCTTTTAGGCACAGCTGTGCGAAACTCTTCTGGTTCTAAGTGTTGCCAGATTCATGAACTGCTCTTGGCTTGAATAAACTGTTAAATTTAATGGATCTGAAATTTTTCTTCTAATATTAGTAGTCAAGGAAAAGGTGAGAAAATAAAAGGATTTTTAAAAAGGTGGAAAACAATCTGGCAAGGTAAACATTCACATTTCCTATACACACCTTAGAAAACTCACAAGTACCAGGACAGAAAAATACTCCTAGGTGTACTAATTATGATAGAAAATCGGACAGACAGAAATAACTGAAATCCATTAACAGAGAAAGGGACAAACAAATCACACCACACAGTGAAATGTTACTACAGCAATGAAAAGCAGCCGCTACAGGCAACAGCATGGATGAGTGGACTGAAAATGCCACAGAAGACTATATACATTTTATTTTCAAAGCCCAAATCAGGCAAAACTTTAAAAAAAACAAACACATTGTTCAGGGATACCTACTTATATGGGATAATTATTTATTTAAAAGCACTGAAATGATGACCACAAAGTTGAGAACGGTAAAAACCTCCCGAAGAGGGAATGGGATGAAATGGGATCAGCGTGCAGTGAATGGAACAGTCCTGGCAATGCTCCAGGTCTTAAACTGGGATTACTCTTAGGCTTTGTAACTCAACATGCTGTTATATTAATTTATAGATGTCACACAGTATATGATAAAAATATGATAAAGTAAATCTTAACATTGAGCCTTATTCAAGAAGTAGTACATAAAAGCTAACTAATCCTAGCCAACCTATTTCTTTCTTTCCAGTTTATTTTGTTCACATTCCATTAACTGTGACAATCACCATTTTATTTAAATACTGCTCAATAACTGTAACACTGGTGTCAAGCACGATGCACATTAAGAAGTATGTAGATAGCCCTGTAAGATAGAACACACTGACATTATGGAAAATTACATGAATGTCACATGCTTATACCTATCCCACAATTGATTAAAATCTAAGTAAATCACACTGAAGTCAACTGATTTTCATTTTATAAGCAGAGAAAAACAATTTAACAAGTATATTAACATAATTTGGTACACTTCTTTTTTCTTTTGCTATATGACTGACAAATTCAGTTTTTATGCTAGCATATTATGCTAAGCAGATCAATGTTTCCTTAGAATGTAAAAAAAAAAAAACAGAAACAAATATTTTTAAAAATCTATCAAAGACCATTTTTTTTTCTTTGAAGAGCTGATGCTTCTGGAAATAAATTACTCATCACAACAACAACACACACAAAAAAAAGAGGAAGAAAATGTCTAGCAAGTTAAAGACCACACAGTCTTCAATGGGAACAAAGCCTTAGAACCACTGGCAATATTAAACAAAAACAGACATGGTCAAATTTTCATATTGAAAAAAACAAAATTACGTCAAAAATACAGAGAAAATGTGATCTAGCATAGATGATTCATCATAATCTGAAAACAACAAATGACTCCATATTTTTTTTTTTTTTTTTTTGGTTTTTCTGGTTTTTTTCCGGTACGGGGAACCGAACCCACGACCTTGCGCTTGCCAGGCAGGTGCTTTTGCCGCTGAGCTAAATCCCCAGCCCGACTCCATATTTTATAATGTATTCTTTGATGAAAAAAATGAATTCCCTTTAAGAAAAATAGGTAACTTAGTAATGCTTTCAGAAATAGCAACTCATTCCTTAAAGACTTTTTCCTTGTATCATTAAAGAGGGATTAATATTACTGCTTATATCTGGAAGGAAAACTGTTATTTTTAATTTGTTCAGAATTTCTGCGTAAAATAAAAGCCAAGTAGTAATTCTTAGCAGTGAATTGCACAGAACAATGCTCACTTGGTATTCATTCTAAGTCTTAACTAAGTGTAGCCTGCCAAATGTAGCCCACTCAGTTATTCTGAAGCTCATTATCCACTTTCTTTTTCTAGATCCTTTGTTCTGTTAGCTCCTTCCTATCAGGCATTTAGTTCACTTCTGTGAAAACTTTTTGCCACAGGAGTGAAAAAGAAAGAAAAGAAAGGCAAACTCATATTTATTCATTAGTTGAAGCTGTTCTAAACCATTATTAGATGTGAAAGAGGCTGACCACAGTGATAAAAATTTACAAAGATCTCTCTTAACCTGAGTGTGCAAAGCGCGCAGAGTGATCTGTCACCCTTGCAAAGAAACACCACAGATGTGGCAACTTCTGTACTCTTTCTAACCTTGCTTTCCTACCAGAATATGTCTTCAAAGGTCAGATTCAATCTGGGCCTTCCAGAGTGCTATGGAAGGTGGATCTGGGTAAGGAGAAGGAAGACAATTTAAGGTTGCTGCACATCATTGCATAAATATTAAGACCAATCCCAAGCAATCTTGGAGGCTGCATGGGCTACTCCAGGAGTGGAGAAGTGGGAGACTAAACCCTGGGAAACACTTTCCTACAGAGCCTGGAATGAACAGGGTGCCCTGGGGCTCTCTCTACAAAGCAAAGTTTTTTAAAGGAGTCTATCCCTTTACCTCCTGAAATCTGCAGTTTGTGGCATCTGTCCATTATTGTGATGTAAAAATTTGGCTTATTTTATAATATTAATCTCCTCAGCAACCATGCTCTTTTTGGGCAAAACTTCCTAAATACTGTATTTCTTTTCTGGCCATACTATACATTTTTCAATCACTGAACTGCTTTTTGCTCCTGCTTCTCAGTGGAAAGCTGGCTAAAAGCAGCCAATAGTACCCATGCTATAGCCAGAACACTGGACTATCCTGAAATTTCCTGTCAGATGAGTCCATTACACTTAAAACTCTATCTCCTGTAAAGTCTCAGGACATGGGCAAAATGAAGACAAACTTTTTGCCAGAGTGCCACACACATGGACTCTAGTCTGACTGGCAATGGAGTCCTTGTTTCCAAATGAAGCCACCTGAGTATGACCTTTACTGTCTCATTTTTACCGGTATTTGATCACCTGAGCTCCTACCAGAACCACCTATCAAGCTCTGGTTTATAGCATTTAGGACTCCTCTAAAGCATTCCACATCTCTAAAGCATTCCAAACTCTTCCCACACACCAGTGCCAGAGGTTCTCAAACTACATGGTGAGGTAGAATCACAGTAACACCTGCTCTCTTGGTACCAGCTTTGGATTAATCAGTTTTCCCACTGCTGGGGCAAAATACCTGACAAGCACAACCAAAAGGAGAAGACGTTTAGCTTGGCTCATGGTTTTAGGGAATTCAGTTCATGGCTGGTTGGCTCCAAGACAGAAATGGACGGCTGAAGGACATGGTGAGCAAAGCTGCTAATCTCACAGTAGCTAGGAAGCCAAAGGAGAAGAGAAGAGGCTGGGGAGGCATACACACCCTCCCCCAGTGACATGCCTCTTCTAATCAGGCCTCACCTTCTACCAGCAAGTTTAGTTATGGACTCATCAATGGATCAATCTGCTGAAGAATAGAATGCCCCATGATCCAACCATCTATTAAAAGTCCTAGTTCTGTACACATGAGACTTTCAAGGGACCCTTTAAATTGAAATTATAACATAAGCAAGAAATGGTTTTCCCTAAAGATGTCTAGTCAGTAATCAATCTAGAGTTAAATGAAATTTGAAAAAAAAAGAAAAGGCTTTCTATTGGCATTTTATTTAGTACAATACTCTGTTGAAATATTTCACTATAATTTGAAGACATAACTAAGAAAATTAGATAACAGATCATGAAAAACAGATACCATGAGAACCTTATTTCACCATGGTATTAAAGGAATATTACCAACTTTATTCACTTACAGATAGTTTTAGAATACTATCCCCTATTGGTCCTCCCATCTTGCTACTGAGCACCTCATGCATTTTTTATTTCCTGGAAAAATAATATGCTTTATATCATTAAAGCCAATTTCTGCCTTTTACATTTTGATTTTGAGTAAAATCATACCTACTCTAAAACCAGTGAAAAAATATAAATTATGACAACGTAGTTATCTTCCCTTGCCTCTTCTATCATTATAAAAGTCTGCATACAAATCCTTTCAGTTTGTCCAATTCCACATAAGCCTGTGTGCATGTGTATATACACACACATATGCATGCATACAAATACTTAGCTTCATTTAACAACAAAATCTGCTATAATTTCATTTTTACTTAACTATTGTTATTACCATCAATTGAAATCATTACATTTTGTGATACACCCAATATAAATTTGCTACAATTTATTCAACTATTCTTCCATTGTTTGACACTGAGGTTGTTTCCGCTGTCTTACTTAGGTTTTCCTCATTACAAAAGATACTATCCTCACCTAAGCAAACACAGGACACACACACATACAGGCAGATGTGGACACATCATGAAGTCTGCCATACTGCATTTCTAGCACAGTCTCACAAATAAAACTTTCAGAAGAGCTGAAATCATCTTTTAGCTCCTAAGGCAATGTATTAATATGTGAAAAACAGTTCCATAGTATTCCTTGTAGCTGAAATGTTTCATAAAGCAAATTCTATAAAACTTCTGATACCATATAAAGTTATGTCTAATTTTATTATACATTTATATTGATTGATGCAGTAAGATTGCCATGATTTGTTTGGGCATCTCTCCAAAAAGTCTGTATTGGGGCTGGTTTTAATTTACCTGTTTTTGAAACTTCTGCCCCATTAAGTTCTTTCTGTGCTTCTTCAATTTTGTCTACGGGGGGAAAAAAAAAGAAGAAAATTTTACAAGTTAATTAACCAAAAAGAATACAGTAAAGCAAATACAGTGTTTATAAACAATGTCAGACACATAATAATTGAATTTATGAAACAAATGTGAATAAACTTAAAGCAAAGCTACATTCCCCTTTAAATTTATTATGTTAATCATTTCTTAGCCACAGAGATTACTACCAATTAATTAATGGCTTTACAATGCAAACAACTAGTGTACTTTAAATACTGAACTACAGCTAAAAAGGTATTTTGTTACCTAATGAAAGTATCTAAAAATAATACTTTCCTTGTATATTAAGTGCTTAACATGGATTTTCTTAGAGATATAATGAACATCTACTAGCTTAAAAACAACAAGGCTAAACAAAATCCAGTGCAATGGTCTGGATGTGGTGTGAATGTGTCCTCCCAGGGCTCATGTGATGGAAGCTTGGTCACCAAGATGACAGTGTTAAGTAGTAGTGAAAACTTTAAAAAGAGGGCAATTGGGGAGTTCTTATGTTACTGGAGACACTACCCTCAGAAGGGATTAAGGTAGTTCTCATGGGACTGTGAGTCAGTTCTTTAGAGAAGGTTATTATAAAGAATAAGCCTAGCCATTCCTCAGCGTCTAGTTTCCTATCTTGCTAGATCTCTCTTCCTCTTGGATGTGATCCTACCACAAAGCCACCCACTATGAGGTGATGTAGCCAAGAGGGCCCTCACCAGAGAGCACCATGCTTTCAGCCTCCAAAAGAGTAAGCTAAAAGAACCTCTTTTGTTTACAAAATACCCAGACTTAGGTATTTCATTATAGTAATAGAAAATGGACCAAGAAGTGGCCCAAGGCATAAGACAAACATGGAAAAAAGAAGTGTATGAGAAACAAAGGAAATGATGAGCTGAAGACCTGTATCATTTCTGGCCCTTGAAAACAGCACTGAGTATATATCACTAAATGTGAAGGCAGAATACTGCATCAAAGACACACTGTATACAGGTGACTACAGAACTTCTGTCTCTGCTCCCAGCTTTGAGAGACAGATGTAACCTAGAAGCAACAACAGAGCTGGGAGTAGGGAGGGAGGCAAGTATGGGCTCAGAACAGGTTGCTCCTCACTCTGAGGCTCTGGGCACAGTGGATTTTGTAAGCATGCACCCATGTTGAACTCTGGCGACAATTCAGTTGAATTCTGTAAGGTTATGCATATTTGGTGATGATGACTTTAACTAATTTCAAATTTAATGTTTGTCTAAGCACTTATTATAGTAGAGATAAAAATTCTCAGGGTCCTGTATTATACTGAATTGAGTACAGTAGTAACAATTATATAGCATTGTAGACATCCTATGAAAGCACAGTTTGGGTAAATGCTCTCAAAATACTGTTTCTTCACCCATGTAGGTATTTAGCCTCTCTCTTGTGGTATACACTATCTGCTCCAACAACGTCTCCCAAGCTAAACGTCACACTACTGGCCATAGAAGACATAACCTCCAATACTTTAAATAAACAGGAGCCATACACCCAACTACCGGGCCTACAAAGGCTTGTCTTTCCCTATCTTACCAGAAAATAAGAAATTCAGAAATTCAAACACTTTCATTTAGTTATCAAACTTCCTCAAATTGCATACTTATCCCAGAAAAGGTAGAAGTGGTGGAATAAAGAACAAAAGCTAGTTTGAAATAGGAGACATAGCAAAGGTCAAAACTAACTAAATCTCCATTCTCACAAATGCATCCCCCACAGCAATGTCCTATTTGTGTCCTGAAAATTATCAGATCCATAATAGAATGGAGAGGAGTAGAGGCAACCTCTAGTTCTTCTGATTTATAAACTGCAATTATTTCTCATGAAATTATGTGTTGATACTGAAAATAGTCCTGGCAAAGAGCACATTAAATGCAGCAACTATCTGCTAGGGCTGAAGTCCAGAGGCAGAAAACATGCTTAGTATGCACAAGGCCCTGGCATTTTATTCCCAGAACTACCCCCAATCAAAAAAAAAAGATTTTTGAGTTTATATCATGAAGAAATGAGGAAGTGAAATGAATGATAAATGAGTGGACAGATATGTTAAATTTGATTTAAACATTACAAAATGTATACATGTATTGAAGTATCACATCTTGTTCCATAAATATGTGTAATTTTTATGTTTTTATGTAGCCGCCAAAACTGAAAATAATCAGTGCAAATGAAACACAAAAACTGCATCCAGCATTCAGCAATAATTTTATTTCCAAAAAAAAATACACCTAAGCCATGCACGAAATCTATATGAATGTAAGTAACCAAAAAATAAGGGCCACTTTAAAAAAGAAATACACTAAGTACAGTTTAGATATTCAAACTGCAAATAAATAAATCATTTAATTTAAAATATATTGACCTTGAGGAACATAAAAAGTAGGTTTATTACAAAAGCACTATTATTTTTATGTCAGCAGTTTATCCAAACTTAAGAATCGTAAATAATATAATGTACATATTATATTCACACCAATAATGACCACACTTTCTAGAGTTTATGCACATATAATTTGACATTGTATAAAAAAACACCTTTTTATTAATAGAATCAATTGTAGCTCAAAGGAACAGAAACTTATGTTTTAACAAATATCCAAGAAATGGCTGCTATTTAGCATACTGAGGCCATCTTTTATGTGCACTTTGATATAAATTCCTCCAAAATGACCTCAATTTACATTTGCTCCCAAAACGAGTCTTTGCTTTTAAATTTTTCAATTAAGTTACCTTTTGTCTGGATAATAAAGGGATATAAATTTGTGCTACTGACTTAGGACATCTCTTGCACTAAGTACAAGTATCTACTCAAATGCTTTTATCCACAGCTCCAGTTCAAAAAGTAAACACACTCTTCAATTAGAGCTGTAAGAGCCATTATGAAAAAGTATTTCCTTCTGGCAATTTTTATAGAAAATCCTGTTTATATTTAACCTGCACTTTTTATTACTCTCCTGGTAAAATACAATGCATTGTAAAAACAATCTGTAAAATTTCAGAGAATGTAGTCATTTAGTATATGCTCTTGACTGGTCATTTAATTTGTTATTATTTAAAGCATTTTTTCCACTATGGGTTTTTTTTTCCCCCACTATTACCCAGAGCAAGAAATACATTTTCACATTCTACACCATTACACACGTGTATATGTAATTCAGAGACAAACTTACCTATACTCTACATTTTGTATGTTTTCTATTAAAAATGATGTCCTTAGCCAAACTACATGAACTTTAGGCCTCTGCTGGATTGTAAACCTGCAGCTCAATACTCAAGAAGGAGCAAATCTAACACATCTTTTTCACCACAGCTTTATCACTAGTAGCACATCCTAGCAAGACCTTCTCTCACTGTTAAGTCCTGTTCTGAGGGTGCAGAAAGTATAGGCACAGAGATGGTAACTTACATTCTGAGACATCCCCACCATGCCTCCTCAAGGTCACTGTGCTATGAGTCAACAACTGCATCAAGAACTACATGTGCACACAACTTAAAATCTGATCTATACAGATTTAAATAATTTCCCCCTCAATGCTCATCCTCTTTCCCATTTCTCAGCTACACACTACAGCCTCTGTCTGCTCTATCCATCCACCCATGATGGATGACACTGAGAAAATTACGCAGGATAACACAGAACTGGCTTTTAAAAGGTCCCAGGCCCTGACAGTTTTCCTCTATGTTCTTCCACATTTTAAAGAATAAAGCATCTTCTACATTTTTCCAGGAAGCACAGCATATGTTCTAAGCCACATTAGTGAAGTTGACCATAAAATGTAACCAAAGGGACAGAAAACCAGCACTATTGACAGTGTCTTCTCTGAATACAGACTGTTAAAATCTATACTGAGAAGAGTATTTACAAATTAATAAGCCATGTCCAAGTAGGGTTTAGTACAAGAATGCAAAGATAATTCAATAAGCAGAACTTTCAAGCTGAGTATCCTTTATCCTAAATATTTGCAATCGAAACGAATTTCAGATATTTTCAGACTCAGAAATATTTGCACATATACAATGAGATACTTCCGGGATGGGACTCAAGTTTAAACATGAAAATTCATTTATATTTCAAATAAACCCTCAACACAGAGCCTGAAGGCAATGTTGTACTTCAGTGTGCCTCAGTTTTACTGAGACCTGTCACACGAGGTGGAACTTTCCATCCGTGGTGTCATGTACACTCAAAAAGTTTGATTTTGGATTTTGGGATTAGGGATGTTCAACCTGTATTACACCTTGTAACACCAACAGAACAAGTTATTTAAATAATGCCCAAATGTAGTCTTATCTATCTATTCTTAGTGCTGGAAAAATACCTCACTATTGAACAGAAAATGATCTTCATTATATCAACAAGAATTAGTCTACTAAATACAACAAAACAAAGAAATGCACCATTCCTGCTCCACCAACAACTCCTTTAAGGAAGCTGCCCTGACCCACTCCCTGCATGACATCCTGCACTCTCCTCTCCCCACAGCCTTCCTTCCTGGCACTCACAGAGCTGCCTGTCCACTTGCTTTCTGCAGCAGAGGCTCAGATGCCTTTCATCAGACCCTCAACTCATGCTTTCTAACAGATGAACTGCTCTGCATCGCTCACCGAGGTGTCTACAGTAACAATGATGTGGGAGAAATTTTACCAGTAAGATAGGGAGTTGATTAAATAATACTTAAATACTTCAAAAAATACAGTATTATTTAGTCACTAAAGCTGTTTTATAAAAACACTGACAGAAAAATGCTCAAAGTGCATTAAATAAAACAATAAGGCCTAATTCTAAACATGTGCCACACAGATGCATGTGTACTTATGCAGGCAGGCAGACACACATGCACCTACACCCACAGATGAAGAAAAAGGGACATCTGAGGGCAGTACATTAATGGATAATTTTCCTTTGTATTTTAATTAACTACCTGTAAGGAACAAATACCTTAATATAAAAATTGTATCTAAAC